GATTGCCAATAGCATTGAAACTAGGCTGCCCCCTGAGAAGATGGCTGACCTATGTAAAACTGGGCAGAAAATAGAGTAAGCAAGGACAAGTGGGCTGGAAGGAGGCTGTAAAATATTCAGAAGGCAGGATGAGAATGAGGGGGAAAAAATAAGTGTAGGGAGTATATAGAGCTCAGAGGTGCCTTTACGTGGAAAAAACCCCAAACAAACAGTGCTTTAGTTTAAGGTACTATGCCTAGAAAAGGCATCGTGTTAGTTTAACCCAGCTCATCCAACATCTGTATAGATTGGGCACTTCAGTGGAGCTTTTTGGGACTTTTGTCTAATAGCTGGGTCGAGCTAATGCATTTCCTCTTTTGGTAAAGTGCTGGGTTTTTTTTCATGTCTGTCAGCAGCCATAACCTAAGTATTCATCACTAGACGGTCAAAAAGCCTGAGGCAGAATCGATTCAATCTAGGCAGTTTCCTGCTCGTAGTGGCTGGGGGGAGTGGGAGGGCGAGAAGTCCACTCAGCTCCCTGGGGCTGCCGCTGAGGTAGGGGCTCCCTAGCGCTGGCCTGCACAGCCCAGCACCCAGCCTGGAGCTCTCCTTTTCCCTTCCTTCTGTGGCAGCAGCCGGAGCAATCAGCATCTGGGAAGGAGGAGGGAAGGAATTCCTGTTGGCTCCCCAGGGGTTTTCCAGGCCAGGGGACCCTGGGCCAGGGTGGAGGAAGCCCCCTGAGGCAGGGGCTCCCCAGTGCCTACCCCCAGGGAACACCTTCCCCTTCCCTCCTGTGGCAGCGGCTGAGGCAAGCAGCTGTATGGGGGAGGTGGGGAATTCTCCCAGCTCCCCAGGCTGCGTGCAGTGAGAGGAGGGCTGCAGAGGGGAGAAACGCTCCCACCATGGGTGCTTTCCCTCCTCCTGTGCATCATGTAGACTCAGGCTAGTGGGGTCTGGAGCTCTGTTCCCCTGCCACCCATCCCTATTGGCTGACAGGTGCAGGCCAGTGCAGCAGAAGGGTGGGGCAGTCCCTGCTCTGCTACAGCAGACAGCACAGCCCAGAGCTGCAAAGCATCCTGGGATGCTGGGGGACTGTGAGTTAACTTGAACTGGGAAGGGATCTGGGAGAGAAGTTCCATAAACTGGTTTGACTTAAATCAATTAAGTCTGATACTACATTCATCCAGGTTTATCTTAAACCGGTTTCAGCCATTTTGGAAGTAGTCTACATAAACTGAACTTCTGTTCTGTTACATGTTGAAACCAGTTTTTGACTTAAACTGGCTTATGTGTAACTTCTGTCCCTAGCCATAATGACGCTATTTGCTACAGGCCATGGGTAGTAGTAATGTCGTAGGAGGGCTGTGCAGGAACTCCATATCAAGTCACCTGGGTTTGGCAGTGAATGCAGAGAAGGTTGTTTTCTTCTCTCCAGGCTCTTCATGATTTCTTTCTTGAATCCCATGTTTACTGTTGTGTGTTGGATGAGGCAGCATTTGACCCTTAAGGAACTAGGCTGTTCCTTACTCTCTGTTCTTCTTGCAGAACACCTGGAAATATTCTAGGTGGATTCTGTCTCATTGCGTATTTCAGTGTCAGATTTAAAGAGAACCATTTAAAGCAATAATTTGTCTCCCTTCATCGACTTCAGCCTGTACCGATATTCAGAGCTTGACAATTCTTCAGTATGCTGCTGGTGCCACCTTCTTTTGTTTTTGGAGATGATTAAAGGGTAAAGTGTATCTTACTTGCTTTCTTTTTATTTTCTCTTTCCCCATCTCAAAAACAAGACTAAAAGAACACTAAACAATAGTTAATGGTGATAAATGACACTTGAATATAGAAGAAAATCCCTTCCCCAAAAAAGATACGTGAGAAAAAATAACAGTGGTTCAGTTGCTGTGCTGTAAAATTCATCATGTGTGCAGAGCAGAATAGTCTTAAATATATATTTTTTAAAAACATTGTGGGGGTGAAAAGACATGCCTTTCTAAGATGAAAGAAAGGAGTTTTGTACTTAATACATTGAAGAATGTGTTCAGGAACTGTTCATTCATGTGAAAATATAACCCCTGTAATATTGCCAAGGTCATTAGAGACCTGTGGTGATTTGCTGATTAAGTGCTGGTCACACAGGTTTAGGCTGCCTGAGGCACCTTTACTTACACACCCAGTTTTTATTCCAAGTTTTCCAATAATGTTGGAGGAAAAAATACTTGGAACTTACTCTTTTGGACTGGCTTCTTTATTTTTAAGCTTTGTTCCTCTTTACACATTCTTGTCCTTAACCTTGGCAAGTTTCCTGAGATCTGCACTGAAAAAGAAGGGAGAACACCAATGTGGTTTCATTTGACTGAGTAGCTGACATTCTGTCTGAAGACACACAAAGCAAAAGGCAGGCCAGAATAGATCCAAAGGTATGACTGTCTGTCTGATATGAGTTTATTAAATCATGATGGGAGCTGAACTTTTTTTGAACCTACTCAGAAGAGTTCCTCTTCCCTAGTCTAACATGCTTCCTGTTTATCGTGGTACTTTGGGTTAAATGAGCAGTTGTTCCAGTAAAAACCTAGTGATATTACAAGAAAGCAGTATAAAATATGCTATATGAGGTGCTAGAACTCCAGGTACTGTGTGGGCCTTCTATATTAAGCTTTCTAACTCGGGAGCCCTGTGTAGGCGGTTGGATGAGAAAGAACAGACAAATCAACATTCCATTCACTAAACTCCCCAGCATGCCTAAGCTTCTTTCACTCTGTAAAAGGGAGAAAATGAAACGAAAAGGAGCCACTAGTGGAGTGCTTGCTAATTAGTAAAACTGCACTGCATTACAAGAAGCAAAAATAAATGAATATATTGGAAGTTATCAAAAAGTACATGCAAACTGACTGCAGAAATCCATTTTAGAGCTATTTAAATCAACGTATTTGGAAAAATGACTGGCTTTTGGGGTACTTGCAAAAGGCGAGAACTAGTCAGTCTGCTTCTGATGCCAGCTTTCATATAAAAAGTTCACTGACCCTGTAGACAGTCTGAGCATATTCTGAGTTGCTTCTTTAGCAAAGTAATTTGCATGTTTTAAGGTATTGCCTACTAGAAAACAATCCAGTAAACTTCTTTTGTAGAGTAACAGCCTCTTGTATAACTTTAAACACAATTTGCAGTGCTTCTCTCTTTTTTTCTTCACACTTCTGCCAATTTTTTTTAATTCAGTAGTGTACAGCATTGTATATCTCCAATATTTCCCATTCAGTGGTCTTAATTTTTTTAAAAAGACCAAGGCCTAAATGCACAGGATTAGGCATCCAACATTTTATTACAGATAGCACTTTATAATCCAGATGGACTTCCTGATTTGAAAAATGAAGAATCAGGTCCATCTTGCTCGTGGCCCTGGGAACTGGAATACTGTGTTCTGAGAACTTGAAGCTTGCTTGAATTGAGCCCTTTTCAAGATTCTGCTATCATACAATTCTCCAGTCCATTTTTTATGAACTACAGTGATGATGATACTATCCTTCCCTAGCTGCTGCTGCTACTCATTGCCATTTCACTGAGTCCTCACATACTAGTTATCAGTAGTTATATTAGCTTGGGCTTAGTTTCTAATGTTTACAAACCCTAATTCTTTGTCAGTTGCATATGGTTACCTTTATTTTAATTTTATATTTTTATTCATTGTTTTCAAAATAGTAGTGAAATAGGTTTGTACTTAGATTCTGAGCTGTATCAAATTCAGTGCATGGCCACTTTAAAAAACTTATATGACAAAATGAAAGTGAAGACTAACTTCAGAGAGTCACATGTTGCCACAAAGTGCATTGCCATAAAGCCATAAATGCATATCAAACTGTAACAGCTGCACATATAGACGCTGGCCTAAAAACTGCTTACTGTGCAGTAAATGCATGTGTAGATGCGCTCTTTGTATATTGAGTAATAAAAGTGCGTGTTTGAAAACCACACAACTCAGGCCATTCACACATTATGCTTGATTGATACAAAGTCTCAAATCCCTGTGGATCATTTCTCACTCATAGAGGTGAGGGGAGGAGTTGTTACTTAATTACCTATCTAGCTCATAGGATCTGGATCCCAGATGGCTTAGTGTAGGTCCTCCGTGGACATGGGTTCTGGCTTGCTCAGATGCAGAAGTCTTTAAACTAAAGTTTAGGCTAATAAAACAAACACCTTTGCATTAAAAGCTGCCCTAAAACAAGGTTTCCAAATGCATAGGGAACACATGGGGAGTCTCAGACTCCTTACCAGCTAAGCACTGCTGCCCAGAGGGTTTTTCCACCTATTGACCCCTCTGTGAAATCCTATGAAATATGAACTTTCATTTCTACCCAGGAGAACTTTTACAATGTTTTCTCTGATGCCTGACGAAGGGTGTTTGTGTGCAAAAGCTTGCAATTAAAGAAAAATCTTTGCAAAAATCTTGTTGGTCTAATAACAGATATCACCTCTGTCCATGAGCCCTGATTGCTTTTTCCTCTAGACCAATATGGCTACAACCTGGATACAGGGAACACATGTATTTTCTGAGGCAGTGATTCTCAGCCAGGCTACCCATGGGTTGCTGGTACCATTAACATTATTAGGTGGCCAAACATGATTCACAAAATAAACCCAGATATTTCAAATAGGAATCAATAGTGTCAAAAGCATTCTGATCTATTATGGTCTTTCTGAGTTTTTTGCAAAAGAAAAACTGCATTATTTTTCTGTAGTCAAAAAATGAGTTAAACTAAGATTTGGCATTTTCTGAGGGGTGTCTCAAACCTGTCAAGAGGTGCCTCTGATATCTCAGTCATGTTGAGGTCAAAAGGCTCAAATTTAAAGACTTCCTTTAACAAATTGAATAAGGATGTAAAAACTGTATACTGGGCTTATTTGTACTATAGTGGAGTGTACTGAGATTTACATTTGAAAGCAGGTCTCCTATTTTTACTCTTGTCTTTCAAAAAAGAGGTTTTTGTTGACACTACTACTCTTATCGTTCAATGTGTTTTGACCAGAATGCTGCTGCCCTGGCCAATGGAAAAGTCTTTGCAGAACAGATGCAAAATGCTGCTGAAAATGTAGTGAAGGAGCAAGCAGGGGAGAATGAGCAACTAAAGAGAACAATTAAAGAGCTAGAAGCCAGAAGTAAAGACCTCCATCAACAAATTGATCATTTGAACAGAGAACAAGAGATTATGAGAGAGAAAGTAAAGAGAAATGAGGTAAGTTGCACACATCAAATTTGTAACAAGTATAGTTTTTTTCCTGTTTGTGTTTGGATGGATGTTGCACAAAAATAAAAATTGAGAGATGAGAGGAGGGCAAAGAAAGTCATTGTTGCTGCAAGGAAAAATAGGCAAAAGCTATGAGCTTGAAGGAAGAGAATTGAGGTTTGCCAGCAGCTACCTGGAGGCTGTTTAAAATATAGGGACAGGGTTAAAATAACAGCCGGACATAAGAATGGGCATTTTGGATAAGTGTAAGAGGATATGAGAGCTTGTAGGCAAAGTTAACCTAGTGTGGAGTCTTGATACTAAGCTTGAGGAGCTTGGTATGAAAGGCGGAAAGAAGCCTTGTTTTGTTTTGTTTTGTGTTTCCTAATGCCTGTATGTATTAATTGTCTGTGGATCTTCTGAAGCCAGGTTATAGCAAATGCAGCACTGACAGTTCTGAATGTATTACTTCCTTTTACTGCAGAAAGAAAAGCAACAACTAGAAGATGCCCTGCAGTGTGCTAGGAATGAGGCAAAGGAGCTGGCACTGGTGAAAAAATCTTTAGAAAGCCAGGTGGATGATATGCAAGTGAGTACAAGAGCATAAATTAAGTTAAATGAACAGTCGGTCTTCTGTTTTGTTCACCTGAGTCACTATGGCTTTTTTGTCAGTGGTGACTTCATCTGGCTCTTTAAATAAACATCATTATAAGTGGTGCCATCAAAGCATTATTCAAATTGTAGCTCTAACCACAGCTCCATCTAACCCTAACCTAACCTTGCTTTCTATATAAAATATTCTGTCTTGTCATGAATGAAGCAAGCTTTGAGGGAGATAAATCCCCAGTGAACTTGTCTCCTTTCTGACAGATCTGCATTGTAATTTTAAATTATCTTTCATCTCTGGCTTTGTTGCAGCTAGATTTTTGCACACAAGAGGATTAAAGCTATAATCCAGCAGTCATATGAATATGAAAAATCTAGTTGGAAGAATAAAAGGTCACTAAATTGGGTCCAGTTTCTGCTCAGTTTCCATCTTGCTTTACTTGCTAATACTAATTTGAAAATTGACCAAAACTCCAATAAGGTTGAACTTCTACGCAGAGAAGGCTGCTAGTCCTCTGCAACTGTTTGGGTAGCCATCTCTTCACTCCCTGGGGGTCTGCAGACTACCTCTAAGGGTCTATAAAAGATTATTATGATCAATCAAAATATGTGAATACCTACACTTACAATCCAAAGGGGTCCACACCTCCATTCAAAAGTTTGGACCGTGGTTTTGGAGCATGTTATTTTGCTATTACAAAACACATTTTTAATTTGAATAAACATCCCCCTTATTGTCTTTCTTTCAACTCGAAAGTATCTACCATTTTGCTAGAAACTAATAATTAACAAATATAAACCAAAGGAAAATGATCTTGCCTAGCCTGCTTTTGTGGTTCAGTATGAATGTGTAATGTAAGATACAAGAAAACAAGAAAAATATTCCCTTAGAGAGCAGTTACAGATCCATTTACTGTTTACTTTCTACAGACATATGAATAGAGCCGGTGTTCTTTTCAAAACTATTTACATAAAGAGGTGATGATATAATAATCATACAAATAAGTTCACATAGGTATTTTCTAGAGGTGAACCACCAGTACATCGGTCCAATATCAGATCAGCACCAATATAAAGAAAATTGACTGTATTGGAAATCGGCCTGGTGTGGCCAATAATGCAGTCCCGATAAATGCCCTGTGCATGCATGCAGCTGCAGTGCAGCACGTGGGCAATGAGGAGCACAGCCTGGCAGCTTGGAGACCTGTGTGCAGCTGGTAAGTCTGTTGGGGTGGGAAGGGAAAGGAAGGGGCGGTGAGGGAGGGAGTGGGGCTAGGGCTGGGGCAGGGCAGGGCTTGGAGGAGGGAAGGTTTAAGTTGGACATCAGGAGGCGCCACTTCACGGTCAGGGCGGCTAGGGTCTGGAACCA